TCAATGTCAGGAGAGTTGTATATAACCAGTCTGGCTCTTAAGCTTGATGTTAGCCTTGGTCTTATAAAATCCTGTTATGAAAAAATAATCACAGATATACACAGTTAAAGAAATGTCATTCTGTAATCTCCATTTTTATGGAGTTTTCTGACCTCAATAAGGAAAATTTTTCCACTCAGTTTTATTTGTCAAGTTATTGCCTTAAAAACTACCAGGAAAGAGGAGGGAAGGAGGGAGGGAGGCCAGGAGGAGGAAGGGTATTTGGTGGGACCTCACCTATTGTGCACAGTGCAAGGGTACATGTCAAAATTGCTAAGAATAGAGTATAAATGTCTTAACACAACAAATTAGCAAGTGAGGTGAAGCTTATGTTAACCAGTTTGATGTAAGCATTCCAATTTGTATATAAAATCAGCACATTGTACACCATAAATGCATTATTGTACACAGTTATGATTTAATTAAAAAAGAAACTAGCAGGGAGAATGGGAACTATGATGTCTGATTTGAAATCTTGCTCTTCTTTTCTCGCTCCTTCAATCTGGCGACCCAGACCAGGAAGCAAGCTACGTCTTCATCCTCTCCTGGTTGTGTGTTTATATCTCATTACATTGTCATTAGCTTTTACTTGTTTGTCCTCTTATTTGAATGTTACATAGTTGTAGCAAATACCAGTCCAGGTTCATTTTTTTTCCCCAAGTTCCTAGTAAGTTCATGTCTTATGGGGGGAAATTAAAACAAAAAGTCTGCTTGGTCACAGAAAGTCCTAATGATCGAATGAACAAACTGGTCCAATTTCACCCTTGCAGAAGATTCTCTCTGCCTCTACCACGTGTGCATCCCTCCAAGGCATCTTGAAGAACTCCAAAGTTGCTTTCTGAGAAGGACCACATGTGTTATTGGGCTGGGAAAACTCAGTAATTTTCTTCTCTTTCATCCATGGCCATGATTTTTCAACTGGTGTGTGGCTGCACACTGGTGTGCCATGAGAGGATCCTAGGTGTGCTGTGAAAAAATTTTAAAGATCATTAATTAAATTACTTTTGAAAGAAGTTCAAAGAATAGTTAAGTATACTCTTTTTTTATTACTCTTTTTTTGATCATCATAATTTAAGTGTATCATGGAAGTTGCACTGTAGTTTCCAGTGTGCTGTGAGATAAAAAAGGTTCAGAAATACCATCTATGGGACTGTATTGTCCCAGGTTACGATGGCTTTATCTGTGCAATGGTTATCTTTGTCTTTAAGTGAATACGGGACATGGGGAGTAACGGCGATTTTATTTCCACCGTTCAAAGGAGGGAGACTTGAATACACACAGAATAAGAATATTTTTCTCTCCATTTAGATAATCCTCTAATTCTGTCTACACATATGTGAAGGGACACATTTGGATCCAGCTTCCGTTATTTATGTGAATAAATAAAATACATGTCTGTGTCCTTGTTGACTGATTTCATGAAGAAGTCATTAGAGTGTTGTAGGAAAAGTGGTTATTTAACAGTCTGTTAAAAATTTCACTTGGACAATTGTATTTTTTTTCAATGTTTATAATCAGATATTTTAGATGCCTACATATGACTAAAATAGCCATCCATATCAGTTTTTGTATAGAAATTTGTCAAGCTTTAATAAACTTTTGTCGTTATTTACCAGGCAAAGCCTTAAAATAAAATGAAATAACTAAATTAATTTACAAGAGATAATCAGCCTTCTAACTTGCCAGGGTATTTTGTAAATCATTCTTCCCAGGTTACCAGAAGAATTTAAACTCCCTAATGGGCATTTTTAATTATTGCTAATAAAAACTTCATATACTCAACACAATGCAAGTCATTTTCTGTATGTTGTTTCTGAAAATTACTTGGTTACCTGTAAGTCAAACCTAATTACCTCTACTATTTCAGTGAAAACTTTTCTCTGGAGCTCTGATTGAGTAGTTAAGCTAGAAACCTGCTCTAGGTATTACCGCCTTGATGTTTGTCTTTCTTCTCCTTTTTTACTTTGCTTTCTTTTTTCTAAATCAAAAGATAAAGGTCACTCTAAGAAGTTAGTTCATGACTTAAAAGTGTTCCAAAGGTTGGGGCTTACAATGGAAAGAGACACAGTTCCCCACAAGGCGGGCAGGAGTCCAGCAGGAGCCTCCCCACCGCCGTGCTCCCAGGGTCTCAGGGGGTGGGGTGGGATCTGACAGTGATGGGTTTCCCTTGACTGCTTCCTTTTTTTGTACCTAACTCGGGTCCATAAATAGAGCAGCACATCAGGCTCTGAGACTGACACCAGGGAAGCTTCATAAATCAGCAAGTGAGTGTTCTGGCATGATCCTTTGACCACTGCCTTCCCTCCAGAGCTGACACCTGTCACCTTGTAAAGAGTGTACACTCTCAGTCACTGTAGTGAAATCCTGTCTTTTCTTTATCCATTCTCATATTCTATCTAGGTGGTATTATCTGGGTGGCTGTTCAAATGTTATTAAATTATATTTAATAACAATTGTCAATATGGACTAAGTAGGTTTTTATTTATTCCTAAAATCTTGGAATTTCCAGATAGTCATTGGGTATACAACGAAGAGTATAATAAAAAAATGCATTTAATTTTTAAATGTATATGAGCTCGTTAAATAAACATATATGTGTTAACAAAAACAGACTATACATATACATACACATTTATATACACATATATACACACATATATATTTTTACTCACTGAAAAAATATTGCATTTAATGAGCTTTTATTGTAACTAATACCTTAGAACATTTAAAATGTTAGGAATTCTTAGGGATCTTTAAGAATCTGTGAGTTAAGGAAGTGCTTTGTACATCATCAGACCATGACTTTCTCCATTCAGTCAGTCAACACTTGTGATTTGTTAATATTAAATATATATATGTGTATTGTATTAATGTCATTTTATTGGAAAACCATAGTGAATTGACCCCACGGTTATCTGGTTTTATTTTGTCATAATTATGATTTCTATTTAAACGATATTATAAGATCCCTTAGAGTTTGGAGAAAAGGTAATGAAAACGGTTTATAAAAATTTAAAAAATCACTCATCTAACATGAGCAGAAATTTACCCGTCTTCAATGTTTAGGGATTAAAGACATTAACCTAAAATAATCAACATATATTAAAAGTTTCTCTACTCCTTTTAACGAATGTTTAAAATTCTATTCTGAATTCCATTCAAGCCAGTGATGACCACAAGGTGTTTGTAACTGGGGGGTATTAAGTGAAAAATACAAGCAGAAGGTGCTTAAAAGGGACAGAAAAAGTCGGTTTCCTATTGATTGGGCTGTGGTGGGATAAATGTGTGGCTTCTGCCCTTAATGGAAGCTGATTGTTCAGGGATGTGCCGGTGAGACGGGTCGATTCTTGAGCTATTGTTTACTGGGAAGGACAATATCAATTTTCCAGAGGGATGATTGGTGGGATGTCAAGGCTGTCACCCTTTTCTCCTCGTCACTGACGGACAGCCCAGTGACAATTACCAGTGATGGGACATTGCCTGCATTGGCATATACACTAGAGGATATAACTGGCAAACAAAAAGAGAGGAAAGCACTCTTGTAAAAAAGATATAATCAGCAGTTGTCAGGACCGGTTACGTATATGATGTCTGAATAACAGGCCTACAGCACATCACCTTTACCAGGGAGGTAACGGCAGCCTGCTTCCTCGTGCTTAGAAAATTAATCTTAGAGTATTGGTGGGGCTGTACCAATAATTGTTGGCATCATTTCTACTTGAGAGTTAATATCAGAGCAACAACATATCCTTTCCCTTTTTTTCTAATGAAAATAAACTCTGGACCATTCCAATGGGCTTAAAAGTCGGTATGTTTATGCTTTATAGAAATAGTCACATTATGTTTCTACGTGAGTTAAGTTTAGTTTTATGACTTTCCTGCTGAGCCCCTCTCACTGGCAAAAATTCACATGCACAACTGATGAGTTGTGCTACATAGGCATGAGAAGGAGGGACTGAATTCCATAATTTGGTCAGAAAAGCATCATTTGTGTGGAGTTTGTTCCATGCAGGGTGGATAGTACATGTGCGCATTTACAGATTTTCTATAAATTTCTCTGATCATTTTCATGTTGTCCATTTCTCTCTGTCCATGGCTTAGTAATTTCAGTAATTTTTTTAAAAAAAAATCCATACTTGCAAAGCCTACCTTAACACTTAAAGAAGCTAATACCTAAATTAGTCAGAGTGCCTGAAGCACAAGAATTGTCTAGTAGCTATATCTCTTTCTCAGAATGAGGCTATTCTTTTTACTATTTCATTAGTGCAATTTACGTAACATCATTCATTATATTGAGCTTAATCACTTCTTAGAGTGCTATGTTCTGCTGGAAATGTCTGTTTGGAAAATTTCATACTGTGTAAATTTCATAGAGTCAAACTTACATACCTTTGTTTTGTAGGAATTAGAAACCCTTTATAATCAGATTTTTTTTCTTAACATCAAACTGAAAGGTTCTGTGCATTCTCAGATACAAATATTTTCATTAACATCTCTATAAAGCATGTTGTCTGGAAATACTTTTTAAGCTTATACTTAATTGCCTGGTGAGACTGGCTTTCCAAAGAATTGGTCGTGATAGAGAGGAGTGTCTTTAAATATATGGTGGTTGATTAGCTCCCACCTATGTGGCAAGTATGATTTACATCAGATCTTTTCTTCTTTGTGAGAAGTATTTTTTAAATGCCATGTATGTGTTAAAATTGAACATATATATTTTAAAAATTGTCAAACATTAAAGCAATGCTATAAAACCACAGATTATCCTACCATTTAAAGAAGAGTATTGTTAGCATTTTCATATTTGTCCATTTTGGTTTTTATTTTAAGGGATTTTAAGTGTTCTTTTTGTGTGTATGTTCTTTTAAGTCTTTTCAGGAATGCTATTTTTTGGTCAGAAAAATATATAAACAAATCTATCATTTTGGTGCTGACCTTTCATTTTACATAAGTAGTTTCAATACTTTAAATGGTTACATGTGGAGTTTGTTTTGGGTTGAGCTTATACAATGCCATACAAAAGTTATCATTAGTTTTCTTCCATAAACCGTGGGCTAATTGATTTTCCATTGCACTCATTAAAAATAGATACTTCGCTTTTCTGAAGATTGTCTCAGAAACCCAAAGCAGGGCCTGGGTCCTCTGGGATGCCATCAACTGACCATTCCATCAGGCCTTGAGTAGTGGCCCTCCTACTTGTCAGAACTGAAGTATTTATCCCATTTCCCAGCAGATAAACATTTGCAAGGCAAATAATAAATTAGCCATTAATCAGAAGAATGTTTGCATTCGATGAACTCTGAATGGAGTGGAGATGTCAGGTAGATAGACAAGGTAAATCAACAAGGCAGAATCAATCACAAAGAAGAGCCACCCTTGATTTAGAAAACATTGGCTCTAACATGTGAAGACTTTGAAAGGTAAGAACATTTTGTAAAGGGAAGAAAGCTATTTTAAAATGATGTGGGTAGATTTGAAGAATACACAGCATATTAATAATTTTTATGTATTTAAGGCTTCAATCTGATATATGATTTAAAAGTTTTATTTAAATAAAGAAGATTGTCAAATACTTATTTTTAAAGATTAATATATTCAAATATATATATTTTTCAATCTCAGGAGAGCTCTAGTATTTCATGAAAAGTTCCCACATCATTATTCTTTTTTTTTTCAAATTAATAATTTGGCAAAATAATTGTTAAAAGGACAAGACATACACTTGATATTTTCATGTTCTTTTTTCCCTAATTGTGTTTGCCCTTTCACATGTAGGCTGTAACAACTTTCAGATCTGTTGTCTGAGAGGCCCAGGTGTTGAGCTTTGCTTGGCTATTTAAAAAATCATGTGATCCTGGGTAAGTTACGTACCCTTTTATGACCTTCAGTTTCCTCATTTAAAAATAGGTCCTGACACTGTTTATTATTTTTCACATAAAAAAGCACATGTATGTTATATAAATTTATTCTAGAGCATTATTTATATTTAAAGATTGTTAAAAGATTAGTTATTCTTAGATACCTTGGTCTATGCCTAATCAGTTAGCAATGCATATCTTGTTTCTGAAGATATTATATCTAAAAGGATTAAAAGGCCCAGTGGCTATACACATAAAAAGTAATATTATCTCCTCTAATTCTCAGGGGCTAGAAACTACAACCTTTGTTTTCTCAGAATTGACCATCAGGGAAATTGCTCTTGACTCTGCATACCTACCATCTGGCATCTTCTACTTTCTCATCGTGACATACAATGCTGCAGCCAGCTCGAAAGTTAAATTGGTGATATAGCCCAGACTTGCCATTTACATATTATTCATTATTTACCCCAAAGTACAAGAAAAAATGGAAGTAAACAGAATAACCATGATCGTCCACACTGCTTTGCTAAGTCTTCATTTCTCACTCACTTTCTTCCTGTTAGTACATCCAATCTGTAGCTTTTCTACACAAAGTATCTTGTAAAGTAACAACACCTTTTTTAACCAAGGCATTAACTGAACCATGAGTGTCCCATCCCCATTGCATTGCTTGATTAACACTGTCCTTCTAATCAGGAATTTTAAATGTTCGTTAACATTGCCTCAATTATAGAGAATAGTCAGAATGTTTTGAAATTTCAGAATATACAAACTACTCTTGCAAAACAAAGGATTTCTTTAGGCAATTATAAAGAAATTGACTTTTATTAATACGCTTAAAATAAAAACTATTCACGTCAGCACATTTCTCCTAGGTGCTAATGCTACTTGTAGCCCTTTTTTTTTTTTCCACTTTAAAATATATCTCTAGTTAATATCCTCTGCCCTCATGCCATTTCTGTTTTCATTCTTAGCAGATGACTTTAACTTGAATTTCATGAAAAAAATATAATTATCATATGTCAAGCAATCATTGTTTACCTCAAGATTTCTTCAAATCTTTATGTATCATTTTTTTTCATTTCTGTCCCAATATTCATGTCTAGGATGAATAAACCTAACAGCTTATTTTAAGTTTTTCTTTATTTCTAAAACCAGTCTCTAACTGTCAAATATCTACTCTTTTAGTCTCACTCTTTACTAACTCTTCTTTAAAATGGAAGCATACTCTCCATTCTAAAACTGGACAACATAGGAAATGGAAAGTTTCTATAGAATTTCATAATGAAAAAGAATTACATTTAATTTTAAAATTCAGAAGACTTCATAATAGCAGTAGCATTTTAGGTACCCTTAAATACTAGTATTTTAATGCTGTCTTATTGTCATTATGTAGTCTTTTTTTTTTGAAAAATATCATCTACATTTAATAGTTAAGGCTACATTGAGCCACATAATCTTTTTAACAATTTGAATTTACAACTCATATATTTCACAACAACACTGTGAGATAAATCCTGTAACTATTCTCATTTTACGGATGCAGAAAGTGAGTCAAAGAGAGATTAAATAACTTGCCTGAGGTCCTATATCTGGTAGTAATTGGTAAGAGCCATAGTTTGTAAGTGGTTGGCTCTGGAGTCCATGCCAGACCACTGTGCTCCCTGCTTCCCCACATTGTGCCTGCAGATATGATGAACTATGAAGCTGTTAGCTCCAAGAATCTTACACATTCATTTTATGTCTATAGAACATCAAAAGAGAAATAGCATGTGATAGAACAGAAATTTAGACTGCAATTATATAGTAAGGACTCTTGAATTCTAGATTGAAGAATTCTGACTCAATTTAATCAGAGCACAAAGAGGAAACATGAAAAATTTTGAACAAGAAGTAATGATATTAGAACCACGTATTAGCGACTATAGGATAATATGAATCAGGCAATACTGATAAAATGAATGATCATTTAGATGATATAGCAGCAACCTTTGTGGGAAAGCAGGAAACCAAAAATCAGGAGGGTGACTGGGAAGGAGATTCATTTGTAAGAATAGTTTAGGTTAAATTACAGGCCTGGGCAACCTGGGAAAGTCATGGTCTTAGGATCAAATGCAAAGATGGAGACAGGCACCTCCATGATTTTAAGTCCATGTCTGAGAAGACAGAAGAGTCACTATGAAAATCGGGTTGAGGCTCGGTGCCTGTGGCTCAAGCGGCTAAGGCGCCAGCCACATACACCTAAGGTGGCGGGTTCAAATCCAGCCTGGACCCGCCAAATAACAATAATGGCTGCAACCAAAAAATAGCCAGGCGTTGTGGCGGGTGCCTGTGGTCCCAGCTACTTGGGAGGTTGAGGCAGGAGACTCGCTTGAGCCCAGGAGTTG